AGATATTTCTACTGCTTCCTACACATCATATTGGAAAACTTGCGCAAAAATTTAAAAATCACATTCTATATTCTGATCAGCCTATCCCTATTCAATAATTTGATCGAGTATAATTTAAAATTGAGTGAACACATTTATACTTGTTAGATGAGTTACTGTATTTTAGGTGAAGTCCCCGAATATTATGCGAAGTTTAGTAGGTTAGTTTTTATTTCATTACTAGTACTAATGAGAATATCTAGAAAATCAACGAGACTATAATTTATGAGATAATGGAGAAGATTTGTAACTCAGGTGGATGATTTTAAGTGGAGTTTAATTCTCTGAGCTGGATGGTTTGGTTATGGAGTTTTCATCGTTATTCTAAACGACATCATCATCACACACTTCTGGTTTTGGCAAAAGTAAAATGTTCGAATTTTTCCACTTATCGCTCACAGGTTCTCCTGTAAACCTCGATCTTGATTGGTTATTGTTAACCATTGACCTGTCTTAAGTTTTGTTTGTGTGAATAATTAACCATTTTTATTGTCTCCATAGTGTAACGAGAAGACGAGGATTATCAGAAATATGTGATATATTAGCGCAATACATTTCGAACAGTTTAATCACAGATATACTTGTTAAGAACATTTATATATAGAAATAAATGATCAACTAGACTGAAAATGGGGGTAAGAGGAGACAATGATAATAATAGTAATAAAAATAATGTGAAAACAATTTGAAACCTAATCACTTTGGATCATAAGCTAATATTACCAAGGTAGGCTTAAGGTGAGAACAAACTGTTTTTGAATACACAAAGGCGGTTTGAATTTTCATATGGTTAAGACTTCAATAAACCTTAGTATACACCATTTTATACTAAGGTTTATTGAAGCCTTAGTTTTAAAAAGTTATTCGAGCTATATAATTACGACTAATGACCACTGTAGTTTAGATAGATTCGTTTCTTTTTTTTATTGAGATGCAATACTTTGTTTATCGTAGCCCACATAGCACACTGTCGCTGCATAATTTCTAGTGATTTTTCAGTAATTTAATGAAAATTATGATTTATAAAAGTATGTTATCTTATTGGTGAAATTACAGTTTATTGACTATTTCGTTGATCATTATAAAGCTAAAAGTTTCGTTGTTTTTCGCGTAATAAACAAACAACTAATTGTTAATACAATAGTATAACATTCTTCCGTTATAACTCAGAAGAAATTCTGTTTTATTGTTAGTTTATATTTTTTCTTCGACCAATTCAACTCCGAAACTTCACCTGTAGCTTTTATAGAGTTACTGCTGGTCCCAAGCCCAGGTAAATAAGGAGGGTTGGGTGTGGGTTCAGCAACCTCATCCTGTAGAAAACAACCTTGCTAAAATACGCCAACCAGATTAAACAAATTAAACCGTTCAAACTCTGCTTTCCGAGTTGAAGGGAGCATTATGAAGCTTCATGATGAAGGTACATGGAACGTCCAGACAATGTGGGAGACCGTGAGGACCAATCAAATAGCTACGGAAATGAGATAAAAATGGCGGTGATCGAGATGAGTGGAACTCATCGCGTTCAAGCTGGACAGAAAAAGATAGATTCAGGAAGGATGCTAATGTACTCTGTTCACGAAGAAGGAGATACTCCACACATTCAGGGAGTTGCTCTAATGCTATCCAAAGAAGCACAAAAAGCTCTTATAGAATGGGAATCTCATGGATCCAGAATAATCAAAGCATCATTCAAAACAAAGTAGTGAATAACAATGAATATTATCCGATGTTATGCCCCCACCAATGATTGTGATGACGACGATAAGGATCAGTTTCATGGGAGGCTGTAGTCGATCGTAGAGAAGTGCGCAGGAAAGGACCTGACCATCCTGATGAGAGACCTAAACACGAAAGTCGGAACGGACATCACCAGATATGAAAGTGTCATGGAACGACATGGTCTGACTGGGATAAAGGATCGAGAATGAAAAGATATTTGCCAATTTATGTGTTGACATGAAAAGGATGAATAGCAACTGGAAAGTATTGCACAGGATAGAGCTGGATGGAGAATGCTAGTGGGCGGTCTGTGCTTGTCCATGACAGGTAGCTTGCATTAATAATTTAGTAAGTTATTCAACTACAAACAACGAACAATTATTTTTCGATTTTTTGCTTTAAATCGAAAAATGTATTTTTTTCTCTGTATTCTAAATAAACACGTGACTGCTTGTTTTATCGACCACCAGTTTGGAATTAAAACCAGTTCGAAATATTTTCGAATAAAAGAAAATTTCAAAGTATTTTCTACTGGAATATTTATTTTATTGGTTCATATTTTCCAATGAATCGATCGATTGTTGTTTAGCTAATTCGATCAGTAATTATTATGACCCGTATCACAAATATGCAATACAATGCCTATATTTAAATTGGAAAAGGGAGAAAGACGAGTAAGAAGAGAAAATTTATTCAGTGTACAACTTACGAAAGAATTGCTTGCACGTATGCCGTCCAGTAGAGTGACCACAACAACTTATCTATGAATGGCATAATAAAGCGAGCGCAAAAGATAGATAGAGGGAGAAAAAAGATGGACGCGCAGAAGTTTGTAAGTGATGTATCGATTGTTGTTCATGAAAAATGTACAGATAAACAAACTGAGCAATATAGAGATTTGTTTAACTTTAGTTGGGGGACTTTTTGTTGCAGTTACCTTCTTCGAGCTGGACGGTTTTTTAAGTAAGGCTTTAATTATCCTTTTAAGTAGAATCTTGGTATGGAGAAGCACAAACCGTCCAGTAGCATTCTCAATCTAGCTCTGTCCTGTGCAATACTTTCCAGTTGCTATTCATCCTTTTCATGCCTGCTTCCAAATCCCGACGCAGTGTGTTCTTTCGCCTTCCTCTTTTCCGATTCACTTCAGGATTCCAAGTTAGGCCTTGCCTCGTGATGCAGTTTGATTTCCTCAATCTGTGCCTTATCCACCTGAAACTTCTTTTCCTAATTTCCTCTTAAGCTGAAAGTTGATTTATTCTCTCCCACAGCAGACTGTTGCTGATGGTATCCATTTAACGAACATTCAGTCTCTTGCGTAGACAACTGTTTATAAATATTTGTACCCTTTTGATGATGGTTTCTAGTAGTTCTGTCCTCCATAGTAGTTTCTTCTTTCAGTAGATCTTGCAAGGTTTGAAACCTGTTGTTGAGAGTTATCTTGAATTTTCTGAGTTTGTCGGTAACTTGAAGGAATGCTGTATTGAACCTTTATTATGCCGTTTCTCCTGTTGTTCAGTGTTTCTTTAGCTTCAGTTTCATATTGGCCACAACCAGGTGGTGATCTGAAGCTATGTCAGCTCTTCTCCTGGTTTTCACGTCTTCCATTGTTCTTGCAAAACTGTCAATTGTACAGATCACGTACGAATGTACCACTGAATAATCAACCATACATATAATATTATTGAAATAAGACTATCAAATCGCATTATTTTACTCATAAGATAACTAGTATTTAGATCAAAGTGAACGTGAAGTTCACAAATCGAAATTGCTCAAGGTTGTGATAATTAGATGATATTACCGCAAGGTTTTTTAATATTTCATAACCCCTTTTTATATTGAGTTTCTGACCTAACAATTATACTTAGCAGGCGATACGTTTTCACATTGGGTTATTGATATCCAGCTCTGATTTTAATAGTACTGAATGAAATCAATTTTTGATCTCTTTTGACTTGACGGCTAAATAAAGATGGAAGTTCTAAGTTGTCTGGAAGATTTTTTGTTGTTGAACACTCAAAAAGGATTCTGTTCATTGAAATACACTCATTTATGTATAAAGTTATTTGTTATGTTTATTTTTGAAAGAAATTCGTTACACTAAACAAATTTTTACATAAAATTTAAGGCAAGTAAACATTATGTTAAATGAAGAAAAAATCACATGGGATTAATTTATACAAATGAATGGATAGTTTTACTAAACATAAATTTTACACTGAATTAATTTTGCATTGAAAGTGTTTACATAATTACAAATCTTTATTGAGTTAAACAATTCAAGGAGAGCATATTTTACATTTAAAAATAGTCAATATTCAAACTGTTAAATTCATTAGTCAATCTAAGCTAGACCGCCATTGAAAACGTGGAAGCACTGAGCGGTAGTTTCGTCCTAGTATGAAGCTCCTCGGCAGTGCTCATCCATCATCTCGCACAAGATCATGGATTGATTGGATTTAGACACAAACACTGTTGGGTCCCAGCTCAGTGATCTAGAGTGATCCTGGATGCTCATTGCTGAAAAGTCTTACACTAGGATGAAACGGCGCCTAGTGCTTCCAGGTTTTCAATGGTTGTTTAGCTTACATTGATTCGTGAGTTCAACTGTTAATATACTACAATCTCCATAAATCCACATAATGATAACAATCAATATTCAGTTTTAAATTCTGTATAACAAATAAACATTTTAAGAATGGCAAGACTCAAATGCAGCATTCATTCTAAAGGCTTGTGAAAGTGTTTCTTCCTGATTGAGTATTCGTTTGTACGCACTATTATGAAGTATCATGCAAAACAACTACCTATTCCTAGTTGATTTATAATCATTATCTGACTAATGTCAGTTTTTCAAGCTATAATATTTACGTATTCAAGAATCTCTTTAAACTACTTTACCTAATGGATTTTAGCTTAATTTGTGTACAATATTTATCAATGAATCATTCAATCATTGAAAATCATAAATGAATCACATTATTATTATTATTATCGCAAATGTTCTTGATGTGATAAATTAAGTATTGAATATTGGTGGGAATTTTCAGTGTTCACTTAAACTGCAAATTAGTTAAAACTTTGGCATAATTGTTAAAATAAATATTGATAAGATTCTAATAAACTACTTCTCAATCTATCCATTTATAATTGAAAACAGATTTTAGTATTAAGCTTTAAAATCATTATAATCTTTATTACAATAAATATAATATATGTATATCTATTTATTATTTTAGTTTGTGGTGATATACATGGTCAATTTTACGATCTAATGAAACTTTTCGAAGTTGGCGGTCCACCTGAAACAACACGTTATCTCTTTCTTGGAGATTATGTTGACAGAGGTTATTTTAGCTTAGAGGTATGTGTGTTTATGTGCTATTTTTTATTTCATTTAAAGAATATAGATACATTATGAATTATTGTTTTTAATTTCACTTATTCATTTGTATTGGTTGTTCGAATATTACCATTGATGTTTAGGACTGTAATTAATCAATCTTTTTCGGTACATATATATATATATGAATTCAGTGCGTATTACCTTAAGTCACAATCATTATAAACTGAGTCCTGGCTAAGATCAGACGTGCGTTCTGGATTCTACTACTAACCACCTTCCGTCTTTGCTTAAAGTTTTACTTATAATTTAATATTATAATCATGAAGTGTTTTGTAATTTTTTTCAGTTATTTAGATCTGAAATCGTAGTTTTTTCATCTTATGAAAAAATTACTTTGGTTGAATCTATCTTCAATATTCTTGATTATCAATATATGTCTTGTATCCAATACTATTCAACTGTATTTCTGTTTATTTTAGTGTGTGAACATTACATTCTAGAGTGTAATTTTCACTAAAGTTTTCATTTCAAGTTTCTCAAAGTATCCGCACTAACTCTTATAAGCAAATATGACGTAAATTAGCGTTAGAAATAAACTTTTGAATGCAGGACTCATTAAATGAATAGATGTAAATTTGCTTAACAGTGTTGGACACAACACGAACTTATTGAACAATGAAAACTTTAATTGATTCAATATAATCAATGATTTCATTTATTGTTAGATACTTTTGTAAACAATCAATAGGATATTAATAGTAGATGAATTCTATCGCTGTAGCCTGGTAGTAAATATAATGTGCATAGAAACATTCATTGATTCTTTCCAAGATCGGATTAGATTAAAGAAAAGTGATTGATTTCATGCCCCATATTTTCTAACTATTATTGTTGACCAATAATAATAATAGTGACTTTAATAATAATTCAACTTAATGTGTTACTATTATTAAAAATTCATTACCAAACTACATGCAATGGGTTTGTTTGTGTACACTTGGTGTTAGGATAGAATAAAACCGTGTGATAACTCAATGTGATTCTTGTTCGGCATTACATTCGTTTTTTTCATTTTGTTTGATAATTACTCTGTATAATTTCCATCTGGTATTAATTTTATATGTATTTTGTTCATTATAATATACAGTTCGTGTTCTGTATTAGTTCTTTGTAAAATCTATGAATGTATTTCCCCCTATTTCGATTATATGTGATATTTGTTGACTAATTACTAAATATTGGTAGTAAGATTTATACATAAGTGAGTGAATTTGGTTAAATTATTCGTCTTATTCTTAGAGGATTAATAAAATCTTCATTTGGCGTTAATTTTTGTTTTGTTTCGTCGTGCATACCTCAGTTCTCCCATATTCCAAGACCGGTTTTCTGCCCTAATACTTATGTAAGGATTAATTTGAAGCAACTCAGTGTTAGTTTCCAGCTTGAGAAACATTCATTCAAGTGAAATTATTTATATCATTATCGTAATTGATTTAGATGCGGTTGACAAAAAATGTTATTATGTTTCCTGACATCATTGATACTTGGTTCTGGATTGGCTTCGACATTATCATCAGTCACAAGCATTTTTAAGCAGAGTTAATTAGTGGCTATATCCATAAAGTCTTATTCTTGTCTAGATTGTTTTAAAGAATAATTCATGTTGTTAACGAGTGTACACCATTTCAGTCCTATTAATCATTTTGTATTTATTATCGCTCAATTAATCATTAATTTTTATGTAGGCGCTTTTCTCGCATAGGGGTGTTTGTCGATGTGTCTTTGTTTACCAGTCTATCCATAAAATACTTTAGACCGTATATAAAACTTATTCAATAATATGTTAATTATCAGTATAGGGTTCTGGAGGTTGTTGAGTTTCATAGAAATCATGAACTAATGAATTTTAGGCCACTATTGAAAACGCTAGTTTACAGTGTTTCTTTGCTACAGGTCACATCGTTTAATTTTCCCTACGAGGTAATACAATATTTCGAACGAATTTGTTTATCGGCCTAATCGTTTATAAACCGTTTGAAATTGTTAAAATGACTGTGGTTGTGTTGATTAGTTGTATGAAATTTAATAAAAACAATCGCAATATATATATATATATATATATATATATCAATCGATTTGCGATATAGCTCGATGACTAACCAATATCACTGGCAATGTGTTGAACTGAACTCCACCAGTCGTAACTGGAACACCAGCAATATTTTGAAGTTGCTAGTGAGCTGATTATTATAGTTTATTTGGAGAGGTTTTGTAGAGTTCGGTATTATATCTTTAGATCGTAATTGTCACATTTCGATCCCTAAACTACTTACTGTCCTTCACTTTAACAACATGGAATAATTCTAGTTGCTAGTAGTAATAATATTGGCCATAATATTATAAAACTATAGATACTTAAGTTATAAATGCATCCAAGGTGTTGTTAAAAATTTCAGTGTTTTATTTATTTTTCAATTGTTACTTGAAATTATTCTCCGTTCTATTTTGTGATTGTGAAATATTCCCATTGGCAATGACACAGGTGCAACTATGTTTTGTTTTCTTCTAAATTATAAATTCCTAAACTCATTGTAATTATATTTTATTTCATTAGTTTTTATTTTCTTGAATAATATGTTCGATGCATAATCTTTTCTATTATGACCTCTAGTACTCTGAGATTCACCTTAATAATTTAGTCTTTCTGTGTTAATAGGAATTGGCAACTTGAAGCTTTGTACATACATATCAGGTCCCACGATACAATTGACCCGGAATTTTCTGTCCTCATAACAATCTTAGAAAGCTATCAAGTCATTAAACAGAAAATGGAGACTGATTGGCAATCAATTCTACTTGCATTAGAAATTCCAACTGAGGAATAACACAATATTATCATTAGTCAATCAATGTTAGACCACCATTTGAAACTTGGAAGCACCAAACAGTTATTTAGTCCTAGAATGGAACTCCTCAGAAGTGTGCATCCATCACCACCGCAACCAGGAGTCAAACTCACGACTCTCAATCTCACGAACAAACACTCAAAATCTGTACCAATCAGCTGACATTCGTACTAGGACGTAAAATGCTCCCAGGTTTTTTTACGGTTGTCTGACATTGGTCGACTCATCATTTCAAAGAAACTCAACAATCTATACAATCCTATACTTATACATCAATATAATAAGAATAGTGAACACAGTCACATGGTATTTGAAGTAATGGGTATGCATATAAGTCCTCAGTATTGATATGAACATCAACACTGAGATGAAGATAGATGTGTCATGTTGACGTGTCACATATGAGCTGAAATTCGCCTCTTGAATCTCACTATACAGCCTGTTAATATTCCAAGGTACAAAACATAATCACAGTTTCAAACTAAACATACAATTTAGGCTTGACTTCTTTTTAGAAGACTAAGTTTACTTGGATGTGTTTAGAACGGGAGATTAAAAGATAACAGATTTACTTACGTCAATTGAGAAAGATTTCATTTCTGAATTGATTGTCATCATGAGTTTATTCAAATTAATCTTTATCACTGTTTACACAAAGCTTACCACTTAAATAAGCATATTTTTCTCTTCTCTTGCTGATGTTTCAAAGTTACACTGCTTGATATGTAAACTGTTTTAAAATCCTATTCTGTTACATTTTTGATTGTTAATGTATCTCCTACAAAATAAATGTCTTAATTATGAAACTAATGTAATAAAAATTTAAAGAAGTGCTGAAGAGAAGTTTTAGCTAAAATGAATAGTTTTTGATCATATTGTGATCTCTAAACTGATCGATTAAATTGCACAGCTTTCATTGTCTTTCTGAACAGCATGAAGTAAGCGTTAATGATGATAGTGTCTAGAATGACTATAAAAACTTCTATCCAACTTAAGATTGTAATACTTAAAATAGGTTTAAACTTTTTTCGTTTTGAAGAAAAAAATTGAATTAATTAAAATAATTGATAGTGTTGAATTTTTACTAACTACCTTACTGTTGCTTACTGATGCTTAAAATAAATCTTAAGTCTTTCGGGTCAGTACACAACCACAGTATTGGACATCATTAATCAATATTACTTGACTATTTAATGAAATCACAATGTATATATTTGTACCTCATTAAAGGTATTCCAATTAAATTTCAATTATTTTAATTCCATACACTATATAATGTAGGAAACAAGGAATAACAAACAAATGAACATCACCGAGCTGTAAATCTGGTTTAAGCACCGACACAGTCGTGGTGTTTTAGATATTGTTAGAAGTATGTAGGCGGCTCACTTATTGGTCTCATTTATCGTGAAAGAGTGCTTCTTCTTAGAGTATCTTAGAAAGAGGCTGTGTTAGTAGTGGTCTTGACAACCTAGTAGTGTGGCCATAACTCATAGGGGATATTTGTTAGAGGCTGTTCACGCACAACCCTTGTTTGCAGGTTGTCCTAGGTGTGTTACGATCATACTTTTAGATCCTTATCATAGGTAACGGAGAACTATGGGTCTTAGTTAAAATGTGTTATTTTATATCCGATTTTCTTTATTCCCCCTTCTTTGTGAGATGGCAGGATTACCTCAGATGCTAGTTGTCTGGGGGTAACGCCTTATTGCTAACATATTCCAGTACTTTCAGTCGTATGACCTCACCCCGGACCCCAAGTTTTTAGTCTTTTCATCCTACAACTGATGTGTGGCGTGATAATATCTAAAGAGATAAGTTTTCCAGCTAATATAACCTGACTAAGTTACTATATTATACAACACCTAGCCATCACGTCGAGATAGCATCTATAGGTAGAAATTATTAGATTTGAATTATTACTAATCTATAGACGTATAGATAAACTTATTAGTCTCAAATTTACTTGTTTTACTGTTTCGTATGTATACTTTGAAATCGTAAATTTGTGATATTTAATTTTTCCCTGTTAAGTTATAAAGGTTTAAACCATCCAGTTCAGCTTATCTCGTTTTATATATTTAATTGATTGGACAGGTACGTAGGTATCAACTATCAACTTATACATATGTACTAAGGTCGAATAACTTTACGTTTTGAAATAGTTATTTAATATGAATTTTAAGTGATGAAATGAGTTGTTTTTTCTTATATATTTAACATAGTTTCTGTTACCTGTATGTAAATCTGTACAGAAAGAAACGGGTCATAATAATTAACGTTGTTTACTTTTGTTTTATATTTCAGTGTGTAATCTACTTGTTTAGTTTGAAAATTCTACATCCACGCAGTCTGTTTCTTCTACGTGGTAATCATGAATGTCGTCATTTAACACAATATTTTACATTCCGACAAGAGTGTAAGTGTTTTATTGATATCATTATTATCACTATTGTTATGATTAGTGTTTTTTTTATATTCTTTTATTGAATATATAGAATAAAGCCTATATTAAAGCGAGAAAAGGGGTTGTACTTACGCTGGTTTTTCATAGAATAGTAGTAATCAATACCATATTTGTCGGTAAAAGTATGCGTTACCGATGAATTAATCAGATTTAAGACGGAGGTTATTGGAAATTTGCGTGGATTTTAAAACGCAATGACTGATAACTTCTATCTTATTAAAGGCTAATTAAGAAATAAGTAAACTTTACCAGACCTTGATTACGAAGATGCTCACTATTGGTAAACTTAAGAAGAATAAAGAACAGGTACTGTGTTTTATAGAGTCTTATAGGTAACTTAATGGTTTTTGATATCTAGAATCAAAGAATTTCAACTGTATATGTATTCGTCTGTCTGGATAAGTAACAGTTTCCCACTTCATTCCTAACCATTATTTCTAGCCATTAGTCAAGATCTTAACACAAACTCAACTTTAATCCTAAATCCTAACTGAAACCTTTTTTCGAGTTTTTACTTATTATCTGCATTCCGTTTGGTTGAAAGCAAGCTTTACTGTTCCAAGATCATTTTGGAAGTCAGTGGAGGTCTTCAGTAAGGTCTCCTTTCATCTATTTCTCTGGTCTTTGATACTAATCGATTTCTATCGAGCACTTTGTTATGTATCCCTATATCTGACTCCAGTTATATCGTATGATGATTACTACCGAAATATACATCCCGGCTATCCTCGTGTATAATCATAGACTTAAATTGTGTTAGTGAATAACAGAATTAAATAAGTCAAATACGAGAATGGATTTCGAATACGTATATTCCATACAATCGTTGATCCAGACAGATCATAGAAACAAAGCGAAGTAAGCGACGAGGAGAGAGCGAAGCGAAACGAAATGACGCACAGTGGAGAAGGCTAGTGAGCCAACTTGATTTCACCTAATATTTATATTCAGGCAAAAATAAGTTAGACACATAATGAGTAGGGTATGTAATTAACAACTGCATAAAAAACAGTTAGGGTTAATAAGCGAATAATTGATGAGGTCAACATTTGGCTTGAGAAGAATGAATAAATAGGTCTGTTCAGAAGCTAGATTAAGCTCTATGGGCTTGACATAGTGCCATACACTACAAATTAGACATCACATCGTAAACAAAATTTTTATTTCTGGGCGATTGAAACAAAAAAGTCAGTGCTTTCCACTAACCGTGAAACAGATCAAGTCGGTTCATCCTACTGTGAATACTTTCAGCTTTCTGGACGTATTTTGGATAATTATGGCTTTAATATGTTGATTGTTTTCTGATGATAACTTCAGCTATCAAGCTGCTTTCCACATAAAGATTCAAAGTAGACATAATTTTTGTTACTTTTGAATCATTCTTCAATTCCATAGTTTACATCTTTAGCTAAACAACCAATGAAATCAGGAAACACTAGTTATTTGTGTTATTTTAATACAGGACCACTCAGGTGAATTTTATCTGCCCATTAGTCCGGCTACTAGATTTACAAGGAAGCTGTCTCAGAACTGGTAAGCGTCCTTAATATGATAGGCGGAATTATGTGACCGTGACATTGAATGAGTGCTTTCAGTTGTAACCGATTTGGCCTCACGATCAAAAATTGTCCTAAAGGTCGACTAATAACCAACTAAGTGGGGGCTGATTGATTTGCGAGAACATAAGACAACTCTAGTAAAATTAACTGTATATCTGAACTAGCTAATGATGCGTAGCTATGCTCACTCGAAAGTTATATGGTTAAATACAAAAAAACATATAGATTGAGATGCACAATAAGGTAAAAAAATACTATGTATACCGAAAACAGGTCATTTAGGGTGAAAATCCGAATAATAATCTTGTAACTATAGTATAACAATAGTTTGAGAATGGAATAAGATATAGCAATAGCTTGTAGATCAGAAAAAAAACTGGAGATTAGAGTTATAAGAAAAAAAGCATAACGCGATTATTCATAATATCACACATAATAAACAAATATCTTAAAAAATAGGTTATTTAGTCTATCGATTTATTTTATTTTTCTCGTCATAACATCTCTTCATACGAATAATTCTTCAGCTATTCTATGTTGTAATTTTAAATAAGACGAACCCTTTTTTCATTAACTGATAGAATTCTTATCACTATAGGTATTTGTGGAGATTGCAGTATTTTAACAGTTGAATTCACGAATCAATCTAAGCTAGGTTAATGTTGAAAATCCAAAAGCACTTGACTATCGTTTCATCCTTATATGGGACTTCGTGGCAGTGCTCATCCACGTTCCTGCACGCAGAACTCGAACCCGAGACCTTCGGTCGCAGGCGAACGCTTAATCCCGAAGAGGAAGAAAAGTTAAATTATCTGACGTTGTTTCACCACTCCATGTATGCCACTTTTTCAGTGACTATTTAAATAAATTAAATTAACTCGAAGTCGAATAATACAAACGAATAAAAGCAAAAATATTTGGGAAGATCGATCAAAAAACAGGTCTAATCAAGTCAATGTTATGTCGTTCCTGTCAAGGTAATTGGTGTGAAAGGACATGACATTGACTTGATCAGACCTGTTTTTCTGATTGACCTCCCTAAATATTTTTGCTTTGTTACTTTGCACTATTTAAATTTAAGTTGATTTAATTCATTCATAATGGGACTCCTGAGCAATGCGTAGTTACAATCCTGCTAGTTGAACTCGAACCAAGAACTGAGGTTCAAATGAGAAGCCGTTGCCAGTGGATTCCAGTCCATGTCGTGTGTGAGACAGTTATTCGCTTCAAGTAATGGGTAAAAGATTGCTCAAGATCATGGATCGATTGAATCCAGACATTAAAACCGTTAGATCTCGGCTCAATGGTCTGGTGGTTAAGCGTTCGCCTGCGACCGAAGGTCCTGGGTTCGAGTCCCACGTGCAGGAACGTGGATGAGCACTGCCACGAAGTCCCATATAATGATGAAATGGTCGTTCAGTGCTTTGGGATTTTCAACAGCAACCTAGCTTAGATTGACTTGTGAATTCAACTGTTAAAATACTACAATCTCCATTGTGACAATAAATGTTGTTCTCATCTCTCAATAGGATTGTTCAATCTGTCTCAATTAATAGATATTATCAACAATTTTCCATATATATATATATATATATATATATATATATATATATATATATATAGTTTTTTCTGTATATCATATTATGCAATGCAATGTATTATGTTAATACTAATAATAGCCATATGGAGAGTAAATCTTGACAAATATACATGCATTGTACTGATCTGTTATTTTTTCCTGTCGACATTATACCTATATCGTACACGGTGGTAGTAGTAATATAATTGTGACTATTATTATTATCGTCATTATTATTTATTGTTCCTATTTTGTAAATGTCTACATTTTTTGTGCTTGAACAATATTAGGTATCATGAAGAGTACGGAACAGGTTTATGAAGCTTGTATGGAAGCATTTGATCTTTTACCATTAGCTGCATTGATCAATCAACAATTTTTATGTGTACATGGTGGACTATCACCTGAATTGCATACATTGAATGATATACGTAAGGTAATGTAATTTTTTTCCATTCTATTGTTCACTTTGTTACATTTTTCTAACTATTTATTTTGATAATACATGGTATAACTGACAAATTGAATAGTTATCTACTTTAACGCATAGATTGGTTGGAAATAAATTGATAAATTTTATTGATTCACAGGTTAGGAAGTGATTGTAAGATAACTAATGTCTTGAGTTTGATAATCTGTTGGATTGTAATTGCACGCTGTTACTAAGGTATTCCATATTGAGATGAAATAGCTGCTGTTCAATGCTTCCTGGTTTTCAATGATAGTTTAATTAATATCAGTCCATAATGCAAGCTATGGAAATTGATTGTTCTCCATTAAACTCTTTTATTAATAATCAGTGGCTTTAATTGATCGTCGTCTTTTTTCGGTTTTTAATAACATTAAAACCGATGAAAAGTCTCATATTAGAGCAAAGCAACTTTTTATTGCTCTCATATATTTGAAACTATTCTCTCCCTCTCTCTTTCTCTGGAAATTATTCTGTAATGAGAACTAAATACTCATAGGGAATTTTTTCAATAAGAATTATTTCAAGGTTGTTCAATGGGATTGAAGTATTTTTCTTCGTTAAGTTGATTATTATCAGTCTTTTATTTGAACTAATTTTTAAATTCATACCTTTGCGATAAATTGATCACTGACTGAGCAGTAGTGACAAAATATCACGTTTATGTAGTCCATTTTTTAATCAAGTTGCAATGTGACTATTACTACTAGTCTAAGTAACGTTCAACATTGTGTACACTATGTTAAGATGTTAGTCGACAGTAAACCGTTTTTAACCCAAGTTTTATACTACATGGTACTTGTCTACAATAAGGTTTACCGTCAATTTTGAAAGAACTAATGCTACTCTTTGGTGTGAATTCATTTCATAATCAATCTCAGTCATGTACAATTTATTAATAGTGTCCAAAATTTAAAGATCTTATACAATAAGTTTCAATGTTTTTTCTCTCAAAGTTGGATCGATTTAAAGAACCACCGGCATTTGGTGCAATGTGTGATTTATTATGGGCTGATCCATGTGAAGATTTTGGTCAAGAAAGAAATTCAGAACATTTCAGTCATAATACAGTCCGTGGATGCTCATATTTCTACAGCTTTAATGCATGTTGTCATTTTTTACAAGCTAATAATTTACTGTCTATTATACGAGCCCATGAAGCACAAGATGCCGGGTTAGTTGATATGTTTTTTCAGCATCTTGTCATTAAACTAATTAAGAAGAAAAAATGAAGGCTATTCTCGGAAAAGAACGTTTTCTTTTTGTCGACATCATTTTCTGAAATTGTACAATCATAATATTTATAGATAATTTTTTAATACATGTAATAGTCTACGGCAAAATAGAGAAGTTTTACAAAATTGTCAAAGATAGTCAAAAAACAATAATTAGTACTTACGATTTTTAATATTCGGAGTAATGATGAGACAATACCACACGAAAAATGAAATATTGAACATGACTCTTTTGTACCCAGAGGTCGGGTTTGAAATGGCGAATAGGTATACTATCCATTGTGCACAAGTTCTTGATCCAAACTTTTTTTTTAGAGCCAGTAGATTTTACTCTGTAGAGTATTTTGGACTATGATTCACGTGGTAGGATGTGACCTCGATTATCTTGATTATATTATGTAACACTAATTCCTTGACTTTCACATCTAACGATTGAATAAGTTGGACTATTTTTGATAATTTTGTAAAACTTCTATTTTACCGTGAAATGTCACATGTATTAAAAATTACCTATAAATACGATTGTACGACTTCAGAAAATGATATCTTCATAAAGTTGTCATCACTGAAAATTGTCTCTTTTCAATCCCTATAGTGATTTGGTGACTTTTTTTCGTTAAATAAATGTTGATCATCTTTCATGTTTATGCTTTCAATAGTTTTTTTTTGTAAATTTTCTATTATCTTGATAACTGGATACATTTCGATGGTTTTCAGTTACTACATTATCGAAATATATAAGTCAAGATTATTCTATTAACTGGTAGTAGAAATTGTAATAAATATCAAAGAAAAAAAAGTAGATGAAAAGATTTCAAATAAATATTTCAAGTAAAGATTCAATAAATACACGGTATTGTAATCACTTTCAAATCATATCAGCTAAGTTCTTTAATCATAGACTGTGTATATATGTGGTGTATGCTAATTATGTTGATAGATATAAATAGTATGTAATACCTCTCAGAAGTGGAATACCTGGCAGCAGAAGTTTGAGAAGATCGAATCGAAGAGGACAGGAATGCCAGTAGAGAGTAATTGTAACAACAACTGGAATAAAGGAACGATGAAGTTTGTGAGAAGCAACTAGGAGAAGATGTGTAAATTATGTATTTGGTATAGGGTTTTCATATTTTAGGAAAACACTGTGTAATTTTGTACTAAACAATAAATTGGTCTTTTCACTTGAGTTCTCATTTACTACATAAATACACATATGTTACAGACTCTTATAATGTAAATGTCTGCATCCCAGATAATTAGACATTAACCTCATGTGCTGATGTCAATTATTGATTAGTAGGAAGCATTTTTAATGTGTTTATTTGTGAATTGACATACTATATTAATATACAATAAGCGGTACCTTGGAATACGTAATACATATCAAGAAACTATATTAGTCGATGTAGCATTTTTTCTCCATCACCAATTTTATCATCTTATAGCGTTCATGGTGGTCTCAATTTCAGAAAACATTGGAAAGCTGTTTTATTATAGTTTGAGACTTCTTATATATACTCATCTATCATCCAAATTACAATTGAATTCAAAGGTTAATCACGCTAACAGTTATCCATTGATAGCATAAAATGCATGAAATATACTATATTTATCGTGACTTACTTGTTGAACAGTGTCATATTGTCTGAGATGCTTTCAGGTTGTAGGTTTGTTGTTGTGAGGAGTCCCAAGGTAGGACGAAATAACCTACAAGTACTCTTTGTTTTCCAACAATTTCCCAGATGATGACAATTCATGATGAAGGTCCATTATCATAGAGTAGCCAATATTTCGGTAGCTTTTGTCGTAACACTTCGAGATACACTGTAATAATAACCATTTTTCAACTTGTGTTTTTGTTTGCAGAAAAAAATCTGTAGTTTCAGTTGTCTTTCTAAAATTACTTACATAAATGCCTGGACTAAGAAGACGTGATTTCGTAACATTTTGTGTATATAAATGAAAGCTTTAATTACAATAGATGTAATATGTATAGCAATTTCACCATTGTTTATTATGCTCAAGGTTTTTATGATTTTTTCTACACTGTTGATAGGTTCTGTTATTTATAAAAATGTATCTATCCTATGAAGAAGGCACGATCGAAAATTATTGAAATAAAGTTAGTTAGACAATCATCGAAAACTGAGAAACAATAGAAATCTGTTCTTCTTAGTATGGGACTCCTCATCAGTGTGCAGCAACAAACCCACACACTGGAGTCAAACCAAAGACCTTCATGTCTCCGAGCTAGCGCTTTACCTCCAGCCCTCTGAGCTGGGATCCAACAATTTACATATATAACTTCAGTCAGTACTGTATGGTACAACCGACTTCCGATACCATCGATAGGTGTCATAACTTATATAATTGAACATCAGTGTTCATTGCCTTCACCATTAATTCAGTGATTATCTTTGGAAATTTGTCATTAGTACTCAGTACAGGGGGTTTGTGGGAATAGTTAATCCTTTCTCTGATCACAGGTTGTTCAGTTCTGACACAGTTATTATATAAACATAGCATTAAAGTTATGTTATTTTACTCCATTTGATGCGAACTCAATGGTTTAAAAATAATTGTCCGGCGCCGAACATAAAAGTCGTGTGTTTGGTTCTCGATGTATATACACTGCCATGGGCTTCCATTCCAGGACCAAAATAGCCATCCAATACCTTATAGCTTTCATGTGTTATTTGACTAACGTCAGTCCGTGATGTTAACTTCAGTAAAAAAACTGATGAAGAGCTTTTAGGTTGACCATATTTGGCGATGATACCACTGAAAACCGAGGAGCATTTGGAAGTTGTCTCATTATAGTATATGGAACTCTTCAACAATTCATATTCACTTGTTGTTAAATTTCATTGTAAAATACATTGGCTAATAAATTGGAAAAAATTTGTATGTCAATATGTATGTCTTTGAGGTTGTAAGGCTACCAAGACTTATAATGATTATTTAACTTCATTAATATTAGCATAAATCCTCTTAAAGGGATATAAATTATTTATAAGTATAATCTATTACAATTTGTTAACATTAATTACATAATGGGAGGTGATTAATGCTAATTAATAGATTATTTCGAAGTATTTACATTAATTCTCACTTAAATCATTTAAAAAACCATAAGTTGGTTGTCAGTGAATGTTTGTAGTATATGAGCGAATCCTAAAGTAGGTGTACAACCTATCATTATTAAACGTATTTGCAAATCTGTTATATTAGGATTGGAGATTTGTGAATATTAGTATTTTCCATAGTTTGAATGACGAACTGGTCTTAGCTAGACCACTGTCGAAAATCATGAAGGACCCGTCTCACGTGCGAATTCTTAACGCCTAAACTATTTAGCCTGTCGTCCAATAATGCATATACTTAATTGGTGGTTTCAGGTTTGATCTCTCGTGGTTAGGTCATGAGTACGTATCATTGAGGAGTCTTTTGTTGGAACGATACAGCTATCTATTACTTCATGATTTTCAATGGTAGTCTAGCTAATATCAGATACTTCATTTTCTTATAATGTTATAAATTGTCTTTGTGTTGACATATTTTAGTATCATTGATGATGTAGTAAAGATGTTTTGCACAATTTAAGAAAAATATCACCTTTAGTAATTAGAATGAGAAAAAACACATCTATATTTAGAAAGATACTATTTAACATTGATCAGATACATCTAACAGTCGATAAGTCACATGGAACATAGAACCTGACACATTTAAATTCGTTCAAGTTGCCATACTTTATCAGTACAGAGAAATAACGTTATCAAGATAAATGTCAGAGTAGTGGAAGTTTTGGTAATATTAGTGATATTGAAAAAAAGGTCAGGCATCGATAGTATGGTTCGGAAAGGATAAATAAAGGGTATATGATGATGTTCAATTCCCAATATCTGAGGGAAAAAACGTATGTGGATTTACTCCATCGCGAGCAATAATTGAACCATAACAACTATTGTTTCCATTCGTCAGTCGTAATAATCGTTCAGACCTTGACGAGATTGTTTGAAACTACCAACATGGCTCAATCTAACTGTTAATGATTGCATGGGTTGATTCTATGTCTCAGTTGATCCATTTATAGCACTCTTTCAACGTACTCCTATCACTAACAAATATCATGCGTCGATGTAGGTGATAGTTGTACACATATAATCCATGTCCCAACCATATTTCACTTTTTAAAAAAATATTTTTTTTTGAAAAAACAATACCAAAATACGTGAATCACCATTTTTAGTGCACGTTATTAATTCTTTAAAAAAAGGAACTCGTTTAAATATCATCACTTTTATTGGATTGTTTTTCTCCTACATTATTCTCGTTTTCTTCAATTTTAGTTATCGAATGTACAGAAAAAGTCGACAAACTGGATTTCCTGCTTTAATTACTATTTTCTCAGCACCCAATTATTTAGATGTGTATAATAATAAAGGTAAGTTCAGGTAACAATCTTACTATTACCGTAGTGAACAAAGACTTGGTGGAGATCAAATTACAGAGTGCCTTTATAAAATAATGAGAACTATACATTAAATACATTATTTGTACATCTTCCATGAGCTGTCCTTTATATACTTCATGATTCTTTTAATTCTGTTGTTATTACAATTGCTTTCTGTCCTCTTCATTTCAATCTCAATCTTCTGGTATGCATACCACTTCCGATTAGTTTTAAATACTACTTCAGTCAGTCAGTCACTACCTAGAACTGCATACGTACGTACATCAGTTTGAGTGACCATACCACATTAGCACATAGATGCAGTTGTCAATTCAAATCCCATAGTGGTAGAAGTAGTAAGAGTATAAACAGTAGTTGGCGGTCCCAGGATATACGAGCGATGCTCTGAAGACACCTATAACCGAATACTAGTAGCCTACGAATATCCTCTACTCTTATTGACCATGTTTCACTGCCATAAAGTAGGACGGAACGAACTGTCGTGCAGTAAACCCGTCCTTTGGTTGGTAGACGGATATCTCGCCTATACCATAAATAACACAAGTTGGCGAAAGCTAGACGAGCCTTCTGTATCTGTGCTGAGATTTCATCACACACCAGACCACAAGGGCTGATGAGACTCCCAAGATAAGTGAAGTGGTCGACACGCTCAATCGCTTCACTATCTATCATTAGTTCGGGTGTCGATGCAACCTAATCCAGGAGTAACATTTTGTATTTCGAGGGAGAGAATCACATCCTGAACATTTTTTCATTGTTGCTTATGGTGGTCAGAAGACTTTGCATTTTGTCAACGTTTTCACCGAATAAAACTATGTCGTCGGCATATTCTAAGTCAACAAGTGAATCTGTCAAGATAAGTAGCATACACCACACTACTACTATTATTTTAGTAAAATTTGAAGTTTAAAATCTAAGGGTTTGTACAATCACTCGTTTCCTAATCTCCCGAATCACGTAGAGTTGTTCACATTTTGCACTACTGATTGTTTAAGTATCATTATCAACATTAAGATAAAGCGATTGATGAGTATTTTATATGAGAATAGCTTATATCTAGATTCGATGCTAGTGTTCAAACTTGTAATCTTCAGGGAACTTATAATATCCCCTTTCAAGATTTGGGCCTACATCATCCAATTTCATGGTCTGTGAAGTTCATCTCTGATCTATTCAGGCTTATTTTCTGTGAACTAATTGACTTAACTTTTTACAGTAGGAAATTGAAAAGAATCTAAATCCGAGAAGTGAATAATAGAAAATCAAGAAACAATCACATCGACACAAAACGACATATTCGATCCACTTTTAAACTTATTAAAAGAAGTTAAACTTCAATTAAAGCAAAGATAAAGATTATAAAAGAAACATGAAACTGTAAACACGCTCTCTATACATGTATGCTTTTAATTTGTTCCTGGCATTGTCTTCATCGTTATCATCAGCAACAGTAAATCATGTTAATTCATTTTGTTCTACTTATATTTTTGCTAGTTAGATCTGACTTGACTAGATGTTTGCTTGTTTGTTTGTATAAACATGTTAGCGTTTCAATGACAATATGGAAATGTGAAAAACTTGTGTTTCGTGTGTGCGTGTGTGTGTTTAATATTATCAGTGATAAACGAAGTTAATCTATTGAAATTTAATATCATTCAGTCAGCTACAACCTAGGACTAGGCACATATATGCATCGGTCCAAGTTGCCATACCTCATTAGCATGACAAGATGAACACCAAATTCATAGAAGTAGTTAATTTAATGGTGGTAATATATAAAATAAAGATTGCATATAAGGATATAATACAGGAAGAAAGAAGGATATGAAGCAATTTTAATCTCATAGTTTAAGGGAAGATAAAGAATGTATACACCATTTCTTTAAAAATAAGAAAGAAAAAATATTTTTCTCTACCGAAATTTCTATTGACTAAAATAAAATCTTGTGTTAATCTGTGATAATCTAAACTAACTAGCTTAGTGGATTATTTATGGCGTGTGTAGCAACGTTTATTGGACTCAAATCTCTATTTGAACAATAATTCTGTGATGCTCTCACATCCGAATAGTAAGTGTGAGTCTTGAATTTCAGTCCAATTCACAGTCAAACTTTAATAAAGATTCTTTACTTAAATGTATAGTACAGTCATAAAACTGTGAACAAGCTTTTATTATATATAGCTTTGCTAGTTATCTAATTAATGAAATGAGTGTAATTGTGTTATCAGTTGTATTAGTTATTACAAATTTGTGCATGTTATATACCGACAGTTTTTTTTACTCCAGTTACTATCCAACTTATATTTATTATCTTTCAATATCCCGTTCTAAACACATCCAAGTAAACTTAGTCTTCTAAAAAGAAGTCAAGCCTAAATTGTATGTTTAGTTTGAAACTGTGATTATGTTTTGTACCTTGGAATATTAACAGGCTGTATAGTGAGATTCAAGAGGCGAATTTCAGCTCATATGTGACACGTCAACATGACACATCTATCTTCATCTCAGTGTTGATGTTCATATCAATACTGAGGACTTATATGCATACCCATTACTTCAAATACCATGTGACTGTGTTCACTATTCTTATTATATTGATGTATAAGTATAGGATTGTATAGATTGTTGAGTTTCTTTGAAATGATTAGTCGACCAATGTCAGACAACCGTAAAAAAACCTGGGAGCATTTTACGTCCTAGTACGAATGTCAGCTGATTGGTACAGATTTTGAGTGTTTGTTCGTGAGATTGAGAGTCGTGAGTTTGACTCCTGGTTGCGGTGGTGATGGATACACACTTCTGAGGAGTTCCATTCTAGGACTAAATAACTGTTTGGTGCTTCCAAGTTTCAAATGGTGGTCTAACATTAGTCGACTCATGATGATAATGTGTAATTTCTCAGTTGGATGTTCCATTGCAAGTAGAATTGATTGCCAATCAGTCTTCATTTTCTATTCCAAAACCGTGTGTGTGATCATGGATGCGCACCGGTGAGGATTCCTATACATGTATGAAACGGCCGTCCAATGCTTTCGGGTTTTCAATGGTGGTCTAGCCTAAATCAACTCATGAATCCAACTATTAAAGATTATATATATAAACTAATGTATAACATCAACTCAGCAGTTTAAAGATTAAACGCTCGCTACAAGATTTTAAGATATTTCGCCTGATTTATGATAAAGTTGTGCTCACTAATTTCTGAACTGTCTCATTCTAGGATAAAGTAATTGTTCAATCTCTACTGGTTTAATGATGGATGCTTAAACAGAATTCGTTGAGTTGCCTAAATGACAAGATAAACTTTTTTTTGTAATTCTAAGAGGTACTAAATCCAGAAATTTAGTAAACTGTTTTTGTACACTATAAATTCCATTTAATTTGTGAAACGCTAAGATTTAAACATTGACATAAATTTACGGAGATTATATATGGTAAAATAGTTTTTATTTGAGTTGAATTTTTCACAACTATAGAATGTCAAGAAAGTTTGTGAATATTGTTATAAGATCATTTCTGACAGTTTTCTTATCGTAGTTTGGATTCCTCAGTTATATACTATCTTTCAATAGAATTCTCAATAGGATCTATTATTTGAAATCATGGAAGTAAACATAAAATTATTCAAGGATGTGAATAATTGACAGTATTTTAACTTCGATTTATTTTGTTATACAGTGCAGTGATCGTTTAAGTTAGGTTGAAATGTCTATTTAATGTTATCCAGTTATTTCCAAATGTTTTATAAACGATATTGATGTAAATTGGTTATTGGTTAATGATGGTTTTAAGGATGAAACTTAATACTTGATATATTCTGATGGGGTCTGTTACACATAATCTGTTTTTCTTACCGGTCATCTGTCTCTTGACTCATAGGAATGTTGAACATATCAATCACATATTTTTATTTGTTTTTAATAAATGTTTTCTATAGGTTATTTAACTAAATATAGTTACATACTGATTGACTGTAAATCAGTTTCATACATCTCATTGCTTCTTTTCACATCTATTAATAGACGTATATAGACTAACAAAAGTACTATAGATCCCTATTTTGTTTGTGAAATTCGTTAACATCTTCAATATGAAGGAGGCATTGACTTGTTAATGTCTTAATTATAGATGAATTCCTGAAATTCTGATGAGGAATCGTAACTGGTTAGGTTAAGATATGTTGCTTGTGAAGCAATTTTTCTCTAGAATGGCATTAGGTGATACTTACTCAATGTTATGAATTTGATTTAAGCTAGAAATGTGTAATATTAAATGACAACTCAGTGGTCTAGTGGTTATACTTTAAAGGTTATGGGTGCCGAATACTAAATTGTCTTATTCTTGGACGAAATATCTGTTACATGTTCCTTGATTTTCAATGCTGTCCCGAATGAAATCAACCGATCTGTTGTAAAACCACCTATCATTTAAAATTGTCATCACAAGAATAATTTCATCTAAACTAGAATTCGTGGATGCGCACTGCTGAGGAGTTCTACAATGGGACGAAACTTCCGTCCAGTGCTTCCATGTTTTCCATGGTGGTTTAGCTTCAGTTGATTCATGATCTTAACTGTTCAAATTACTACAATATCCACAAAACCCCTTCTGATTTTAGGCCGAAATTATCAATTAATAACTCTGATTTATATATTTGTCTTTAAGCCTCATTTTAGGTATAATAAAAGCTATTGATACTATTCAGTTGCCCAAACCTTAGTGGGTGGAGCTAAGTTTGAACCTACCATTCAATGACTTACATTTTAATACTTTAATCACTAATCTAGCCCCTACTCCATTAGATTATTTCCAGACAATAATTATTCTCTACTTATTTACTAATTTTGTTTCATATTCATTCTTTTTTATTTTGTATTCTCTTTGAAGTGTAGATTTTCAAAAGTTTCTTGTTATTAAGATGGCAACTAACTGATAAATAATTGTTAATTATTTTAGGATAAAGACAATTCAACCGGGTAATAGTTTAACAAAAGATCGTTTTTAAAAAAAAATCTAATCCTACACAAATTCAATAACAATTTCACTGTTTTGTTAGAGATTAATCGAGTACATCAACAACAACAACAACAACAACAACAACAACAAAAAAGCACATGGATACAAAATGTTTTGCTGTTTATAATAAGTATAATGAGATTATTTTATCTGATAACTACGATAGAATAATTATATCTCATTATCAAACTATATTACTTATAAATGTTTCATATGTATAAATGAGTAGAAATAGTACAATAGAGTAATTAACCAGGTTGTTCGCCTTAGTTCACGGTTATTTATCCATAATGTAGATCAATTTACTCAGCTAACCAAAAAAAATCTCCATTTCACAAAACACTTAACTTCAAACAGAATTGTTTCAGTGAATTAAAAATATAGACTGTGTTGTTTTATTTTTGTTTTTGACAGAGCTTAATATGACCAATTAGCTTTGTTAATTATTACATATGTTGGAGTAAATTGGTAGAAAATCCTGAATCTAGGTTTTACGGTAGTTGTTATTCGTCAGAAAGCTGTACCAGGAATCCTACGGAAGTTTTTAAATTAGTTTCTTATCTTTGGTGTGTTCATGAAGTCGAGATCTAAACAATCTACCGATTCTTTTCTTTTCAAAATGATAATTTTTTCTTATAGGATGTAATTACTTGTCTACTGATTTAATTTGGTGAACATGTTTCTTTTCTTGATGTATTGTTGAACTAAAGACTTGGTAATGATATTGGAAGCGTGTTATGATATCTTTGTTGAATGATTTAATCATATGAAGCTTTCACATTGTCTTTCTAAACAACAGCATCATCGCATATTTTAAAAGAATGCGACCTATTAGAATTTTACGATAGTTGGTTGACGGTTTATTCTGTTCACCTGGAATGTTATCAGTTTTCCGTGTGACTGTTGTTTGAATGTTTATTCCAAGTGTTTTCTCGCCCTGACCTTGCAGTTGTTTGTCCTTTTTCTTGCTGCCTAATAGATTGGACGGATTTTGATGTGTTAGTGCGTGTGGGACTGGAGTGTTAGGCTTCTGAAAAAATCTGCTGACTTTCTTTATGTTCCTTGTGTTAGGGGAAAAATGAAATATTCTCTAGAAGGCAAATGAAAGCTTCACATGATTAAACTATCTAGCTCACAGAATACAACAACACAAAACTCCTCATTCTGAGATATAAATATTCTCTATCACCTTGTTGTGAGTACGGAATATTTCAATCATTGATTCACAATTTCTAACAGTTCATATTTTACTGACTTCAATAATAAATTAAAAAATGTAGGTAATGTGATCATCATTAAGTATTATGAATTTGTGACTATTTTCATTTTGTAGTTGGTATAACGAACTGACCTTGTTTAGACAACCTTTGAAAATCGGTTATCATTGGAAGAAGTTTTCTTCCAGGCTTGGGAATATGGATGATTATATCTAGGATCGAACTCAGGAACTTCAGGTCTTAAACTCAGCGTTTAATTGATAGTAACTCTTTTTGAGGTAGAAATTGCATCCAAATTAGAGCAACATCCTACGTTAAATGTTCTCTTAATAAATAAACCCCTTCCATAAATTTCATCTCAATTAGTTATTGATCAACTAAAAATCTTGCGTCAGCGAAATATTGACAAGATAATTCTTGTAAACCAGTTATATATATATATGTATAAGTGGGACTCATTGGATTAATAAAAACGAAACACCGAAGAATAAATCGTAAAAATCTTTGAAAAAGATTTACTCATTGAAATTCCGAATTGTTTTCTCCATTTAGCATCTCATTCAGAAGAATGGTCCAATGTATACTAGCGTTTTTGATCACTTCGGTGTTCATTTATCAGTTCACCTTCTCTATCTCTCTTTTGGAGCTGTTAAGAAATATAAATACTTTTAAACCGTTTAAGTAAATTACATTGTAGTGACCGAGAACAATTTATTGTCTAAAGCAAAATCACACAATGGGTTAGTAAAATATGGAAATCATACATTAAATACATCATTTACACATCCTTTTTGTGTTATTCTGTACTCACTTCATTATTTTTCTAATCTTGTTGTTATTTCGATTGCGCTCCAATTTCTTTCTTATTCTCTTCATGTTAATCTTCTATTGCACGGCATTTCACTTTCTGTTGGTGCTGCATACTACTTATATTTGTCTGCACAAGTAGCATGCATCACAACATCATTGAAGATAAGATTTCTTTGCTTGAACCATCTACTCATAAATCTGTATAAATCAGCATATATATCGTAAGAAATAATCATACTGTACAATCATTGACTATTTTATGTATTATAGGTGTAGCCACGATTTTTTAGTAATATTAAGTTACTTTAAGGTCAAAGCGGAGGTCACAAGATAATAATTTTTTTTTAAAGAAAAAAAAACACATTTATTGACGTGATGCCTTCAGTTAGTGTGTTGTAGTCATATGATTTATTGACTCTAAAATATTTTACTTCGTGAGCATAAAGTCGTATCTCATACACATTCGCATTCACATACATAGACTTGTACATGATTACTCTTTTATTCACATCTGGCCATATGACATAGTACATATTTTACTAAATTGAAAATAATCATGCCCTTTTAAATAAATATCTCTTTTGTTATTTATCTTGTCGGTCTAATAAGATATATCAGCGTAAGTCAACGGATATTTCTATTAGACTTTTATGTGTAGAATCATGCTCATTTATTTGTTATCTGGGAAATTCTACTTTGTGACAAAACGGTCATCTAGAGTTCTTTTGCTTTTTAGTATAGTTCTCTAATTTAATGAAGGTTAACCAACAATGAAAAAAAGTTTTTTTTGGATCTATTTTGGTAATTGAATTTTGGAAAAAAATAGCGGTTGCTGAATTCATGAACCGATTTAAGTAAGACAACCTTTCGCCCTAGTATGGTACTACTACTATAATTGATCAGTTTCTGTCGGTGTATGTGGATCCTTAAGTAGATTGCTTTGATATCTCCATTTAGTCACAGGTATTTTAATAAAGTTGGGTAGTGGGAATCAGTGGAATTTAGGACGAACATTTCTTGCGATTTGGGACTTATCAACCGGATGAACTTTTATCCTAGTGTGTTAATTCCTGAACTTAAACTGGAACCTGGTAACTTTCACTTCAGATGCTCAACTTGTTGTCTACTAAACTATTGAGCCAAAAGAGCCATTAAATTGTACAATAGGCGTGAGATTTTTTTGTAACGGTTTGTATTTTGCTTATGCTCGTTTCTGTTTGATCCTATTAGGTCAGCAGATAACACTAAGCGTTTGAAGCTAAAGGTAATGGGTTCAAGTCTTAATGTGGACATCGACACACTTTGATACGGGTACACATTCAAATGACGAGTCCCAAATGGGGAGAAACTCGAACCCCTAGTTCCCATGCAAACTAATATCCAACTTTACCAAGGCATCGTTAAATATTACTATAGCTTAGTGATTATATTTGTTTATTTATGTAAAGTATTTGTTTTTTTCTAAATATTCGTTCTTTAATTGAGTGTTTTATTTTAAAACAACACTTGAAATCCCATGTGTCTTTGAATTTTGTTTTTCTACCATATTTTTTTTCCTGCTATTCTTTATTTACTTATGCTGTGACTAATTTTCCCCTAGGTTTATTGATTTGTTATGTTTTGTTTTCTTTTTTGGCCAATTCGCTGACCAACCAACCGGTGGATTGATTGCTTACTAAATTGATAATTTTTGTTAAATGTTTTTTTAGCCGCTATATTAAAATATGAAAATAATGTAATGAATATACGTCAGTTTAACTGTTCACCACATCCATATTGGTTGCCGAATTTCATGGATGTATTTACTTGGTCATTACCATTTGTTGGTGAAAAAGGTAGGTGATGATGTTCATTCATTAAAAAAAAGAAAATTGTGTCTATAATATTTATAATATGAATGGGTGAGATTAAAGTTGGAACTTTTTGCTCTTATGTTTGTATATGTAGAAGCTGTAGAGATTGCGAGAGTTGTACATAACTTGATTTTGTTATAGTTATCTGATATATATATATTTCCAGAAATAGTTGGTCAAAGTGGATAACTGATTAGTTTGACAGAAGAAATAATACTTCAACTTACTATACTGATGCTAATAATAGCAAGCAGTGTGAAACATATACTCATAAAAAGAATCAACTATGCAACTCATCATCAAAACACAGTACAGTCCACTTGTAGTCGAGATTGTATATGGAATGAATGATTTTGCATTTAACTTTCTATCTAACATACATTTGTTTTTATTTGTAATAAATACATTTATGTGATGATAGTTTAAACACATGAATAGAAAGAAACTATTTGTTTTAATTATTCATGAAAACAATCATTAAAAAATTGTAGGAAAGTACTATCAATGAGTAATGTAACTCATTTACTAAGTATATATTTATGTATTCAGTTTTGAATTAAATTATTTGTATCTTAAAAGATAGTGATACTAATTAAACGTGACAGGTTTTTAAGATAACATGACTTAGTTCCGTTATTTTTACTGTAACTTAATGGTTAAGTTGTTCGTCTTTCATTTAATAAGTTACAGTTTCGAACCACATTCTATTTAATTCCGTTTGAGCAACTGAATAACATTACCAGTAGCTTTCACATTCAACGGATGACTTGAAGTCTATTGCATGAATTTGCATCTGATAAATGAGTAAAGAGAAAAAAAATCACTTGTAATTAACATCGTCTTGAATTTTCCGGTATAATTTTATTTAATTAACATCTTCAATGTGATCAAAAAATAAATTTATGTACAAATGTAATAAAATACTTTCTCTTCAGTTTTTGTTTCTTTTCTTTTCTTTAATCAGTTATCATCATGATAGGGAATAATCAGTTTTATTCCAATTAATTGTTATGTATGTATGTTCTACATTGTTGATATCCTTTTTCTTGTTCCCTCAAATTTTCATTAACTTTCTGTTCTTAATTATGGTCAACAAAAATCCCAGTTTTACAGAAAGAAATAAGAGATAAAAATGATAATAAAGGAGAAACGTTTTTACAGCTTAATTAATTTTTATTCCCTCTTTTCGTAATCATCAACTATTTTTATGAAAGACGGTATTATTATTATTATTATCATTGGTATAAATAGAAGAGAACGGATTTGTTGCAATGTTTGTTTGGTTGTGTTTAGTCGTTGTAACAAGGAATATGGTGTTGTTGTCTCCGGTTGTTCCATGATACATCTGATTTAAGAAACTATTGAACTAGTCTAATCAAAAATAGTTCTCTCATGGACTCGACAATGACAGTTGGCACACAACACTTCAATAATTAGCAGTTAATCTAGGGAAAAGATAAAGTACAGGAAAAATTGTCATTATAGCAGATAACTTGTGAGGGTACAACTCAGTATATATAGTAACGGGGATTGACCTTGAAAGGCACTGAAAATTGACTAAAGAAAAATATTGTCCATCAGTCAGAAAAGGGGAATATCATGAGAAAACTTGAATTGATTAAAAGGAATCAGTTATTATCGTTTTCGGCAAGACTTTAGTACTATTGACAGAAGTTAAATAATCTCATGGTCGACTAAGCAGCTTGTTTTTTACTTCGTAAATAATTTAGTTTTATAAGAGTTTCAATATGAAAAATAGTATTTACTTCCTGTCCTAATTGATAGTTAAATAGCGTTGAATGTTGTTATTGATGATGATTATGACATTGACAACAACATTTATATTGGTCTACTTCAACAAAAACTTAGTGAAAGGAGTGAACATCATTAAGGTGTCATTGAAAACGGGCACATATCAGTAAAAACGAGCATCAAAAGGACACAAATAAAAGATAATCAGTCATTCATTCTAAAATGACTATACTTGGGTATTGACAGAAAATGTGCAGTTTAATAACTTGATTATTATTCATTAATTTTGATTATATTATGATTGCACATGAAATAATTTAATACTTACAATTTATCGATCATTGAGTTGCGACCAGTATCATGCTTTCTATTCCTTTAGTACCAATCCAATTCTATCGATTAAGTTCCAGTGTAATCACCATCCTAAGTAACCCAACAGCACGTGGATTCTGTCGGTATGGTAAGCAGTTATAGATAACCGACAGGCATGGGATGTTACTAGTCAACATAATGAGTGCCAAGCCAGTTGATTTTTTGATAGTTAATGGGCATACAGTATGACAAGAAAAAGCTATTGACAACAGAAAGATTTGAAAGCATTGTCTGATTACTATAAATTGAAGTTTGTTGATTCCGCTATCATACAAAATCTGAGGTTGTTTCAAAGAAGCTAACGGGAACTATCATTTTCCGAATAAAATCAAATTGCTTTTTTGATGTTTCCCTTTATTTATGCTCCCCTTTTTGAGCCCTCCTTTATTAAAAGATATTTGTTTATCTGGAATAGTTAACAATGGTTTACTGCATATAGCTTCATACACCACGATTAGCTATAATAATATTGTAACGTTCAGGCTCCGGTGGGTTTACGTCTAGTCTGAAGAACGTAAGATGTTTGTTGAGGTGTAATGTGCACTATACTGTGTATGGGTATCTGGAAGCAAGGAGAGTGAGACAATGATCCACTTAGTATAAAGAATACACTTACATTTCTAATGAAGGTTATCGACAACAATTATCAATAATAAAGGCGTTGTGATTACGATTAGATAATGGAAACTGGAAATCTGTAGAATTAGTTTGAATGTTTCATATAATTTAACTCAAAAAATTTGAAAACATTCATCAAGGCGATATTCCTTATTGATAATGTAATTTATTCGATCTGTACAATCGTATTTGCCTCTGTATGTTTATCAAACGTTTTGGTGGAAAGCTAATCAATGGCTTCTTATTCTAACACTATCAACTCTGGTCATATATATTTTCACCAGTGGTATATTTGCAAATCATTCTCTACAGAGTGAAGAGCTTTGAGACAAAAAGTGTATAGGACAAACATTTTAGAAATATATCAATTCATTTTTTTTATGAGGTTGGCTCTGTCTCTTTTTATAAAGAGTTAGGATACTACTTTAGTGCTATCTACATAGATAAATTTTCGATTGTTGGGTAGCATTAAACTTCAGATAAATGAATAAACTAGATCCCAAATATAAAAAACGGAAAATGACTAACCCCTACGAATAATAAATATTAGATTCATTTGACAAATTAGTACCTATGTATTAATGTTATAACGTATGGACTCGTAATATATATGAACGTGCAATTAGAGAGGAGTGGATTTTACTGATCGGATGCAAATGATACTTGAAATACGTACGAGCTGTCTTGATTGCTATTCGGTCCTTCCTATCTGCCTAGCCCAGCCCGTTAAGTCCAGAACACAAATAACAGCCTCGGCAATATGAATCATTATTTACAAACATACTGAGTTTTTATACAAAGCAAAGTAATCAATAAACTGATTATAACTCAAGAATCGTATGATCATAAATCAAAGATCAAAATAATAGAAAACACGAATATGAATAATTTAGTTACGTAACAATTGTACAGTAGGAAATAGGCATAATACATTGGTCGATAAATAGTCCTTAGAGTTACCATTCATAATTCACCAGGGGATATAACACCTCCCCTTTTTGAGGAATACGGAGTTGACATCCGGATTTTAAATTTCTCGAATTCATCCTCCCCCACGAAAGACTGTTGGATCCTCATGAACCCAAGTTACCATTATTGTGACATTATTTAAAACATATTCGTCGTATTTAACTGAGAATCCACGAGAACTTATTAGATCGTGAGGATCGACGACATTCGATTTGAGGTCACCAGCGTCTGATTCTTCTGAAACAGTTTCCTTGAATTTACCCGGAACCTCATTAGTAAATAATGAATCATTAAGATAATCAGTATCTATGAAAGTTGTATTGGATTCTTGATTATCATTTAATGCATCTGATATTTTTCTCTCATTTTTATAAGAGAATTCAACAGGAACATATGAATCATCAAAATAATACAAATCTGGCAGAACAACTACAGAATTTTGATCATTAGATTCATTAGAAACATTTTTCGTATCATGATTAGTTTCATTTGGCGCCACTGTATTCAATATACTGCTCGATTTGTCTCCCGTTTCTTCGTGGGCGGGTACTACAGTAATTTCATGAGCATTTAGCAAAACATTGTCTTTCTGTAAACAGGTTGATCCACTGTTTGCACGTCCGTTTTCGGGGTTAATAGGACTTGGACCGTGTATAGGGCATGTCTCTGAAACAGGCAGCACCGGACTACTGGGCTGATCATGTAGGACTGTTACTGCTGCATCTAAATTTCTGTTTTTCGCGGATTCATAGAGGCTTTCCTCTGCATATTCATTTGTTCTGTAATCGACTTCCAGTTCCGTACGCAATTTAGAAATCAATGCGTCAACTTCCGTTGCACCCCCAAAGCATGGGTGATTCAGCAGCGTCGCGTGTAACTTGTCAATGAAATCCAACTGACTCTTTTTAAAACGCTGCTCTTGTCTCTGAATTAGCAACTGAAATTGATCGGAAGTTAAAGCCATTTTTTTACCCTGTCGTCAGTTGTTATATCGTATGGGCCCGTAATTTATATGAACGCCAATTTAGAGAGGAGTGAATTTATTGATCGGACGCAAATGATACTTGAAATCGTACGAACTGTCTTGGGTGCTGTATTTTTTTCCAGAATCCCCGTCGCCAATTGTTATGACTCGTATAACAATCGTTATTGTATATGAAACGTGCAATGATACAGGGGATATAACAATTAACTCATTAGTTTATTGAATAACACGTTCGCGTTAAGGAGCGACAAACGTGGATATCAACTTTATTATACAAATGCACTCA